CGGTGGAAAATGGAGATCGAATTCAAATTGATAAGAATCATGTATGATGTGGAGAGAAATTGCCACACTCTCTGCCCAGAAGACGCTGCTTCTAGCTCCTGTGTGTCAGTTGTGGAAACCCAGATGCTGGTGTGAGCGCCAGAGTCTGTGCAGGGCCCCGCTGCCTGCTCAGACTGAAGCATTGTATTTTTAGCTGCAGGCTCCCACCCCTCCTGGAACGCACATTCCCTGGGATGGGGCCACCCCCCAGCCTGCGGGCCCTCACAGGCCCAGACACGCCCATCTCAGGCCTGGGTCCAAGCTGGCCCCTCCATCCAGACAGTTCTTCCTCCGTCTCTTCTGATCGCACTCTCCACTCTGCCTCCAAGGCCTGGGCAAAGGAGCATGCACCCAGAGGTGCCACCTCTCCCCAGCTGGAATCTTCCTCCCCTCCAGTTAATATGACCACATCTTCGGAGCTGAACTGGAGACTCAGTCTCCTCTCATGAGCTCAGCTGCACAGCGGAGAACAGTGCAGAGAGCAGGAACACAGGCCCGTCCGAGAGGCCTGGGGCCGTGTGACCTACCCACCATGCGGCCTCACACTCCTCTTTCCGATTGCACGTGAGCTGTGGGCCCGCCACCCGCTGCCCTCCCGCAGTTCTTAGCCGGAGGAAGCAGCACACCGGCCGGCACCTGAAGGTGCTCAATAAATGCAACTCTCACCGGGGGAGGGAGGAAAGAAGTCCGGCAAAACCACAGCATCTCCAGGCATGGAAGCGCGGAAGCGTTTGGGGCCGGGGCTGGACATGGGACCAGCAAGAGTCAAATTCCTTCCCTGAACCCCAAGATTCTCTCTCGCTGTATTTGTTTTCTCTTTCATCCCGTATCCTCTCATTAACCTACTATGTGCCCCAGATGGTGAGGACCTGGGGAATTAAAAATGAAGGATTCAGCTGAAACCGGTTTGGCTCAGTGGATAGAGCATCGGCCTGCGGACTGAAAGGTCCCAGGTTTGATTCCGGTCAAGGTCATGTACCTTGGTTGTGGACACATCCCCAGTAGGGGGCATGCAGGGTCGATGTTTCTCACTGATGTTTCTAACTTTCTATCCCTTTCCCTTCCTCTCTGTAAAAAATCAATAAAATACATATTTAAAAAAATGGAGGATTCAGCACTAGCCGGCTCGGTTCAATGGTTAGAGCATTGGCCCGCAGACTGAAGGATCCTGGATTTGATTCTGGTCAAGGGCATGTATCTCGGTTGCTTGCTTGATCCCCAGTAGGGGGCGTGCAGGAGGCAGCCCATCGATGTTTCTCTCTCATTGATGTTTCTATCTCTCCCTCTCCTTCCTCTTTCTCTAAAATCAATAAAAAACATATCTATTGCCCTGACCAGTTTGGCTCAGTGGATAGAGCTTTGGCCTGCGGACTGAGGGATGCCAGGTTCGATACCGGTCAAGGGCATGTACTTGGTTGCAGGGACATCCCCAGTAGGGAGTGTGCAGGAGGCAGCTGATGGATGTTTCTCTCTCATCAATGTTTCTATCTCTCTTCCTTCCTCTCTGTAAAAAAAAAAATCAATAAAATATATTAGAAAACCCATATCTATTTATTTATATATCTAGCTATGTTTAAAAAATATATATATTTTAATGATTTTTTACCTTCCCACATCAATGTTTCTCTCTCTGTCTCTCCACCTCCTTTCTACTCTCTCTAAAAATCAATGGAAAAATATCCTCCAGTAAGGATTAACAACAACAACACACACACACAAAAGGAAAAGAAATAATTATAAGCATTTTACAAAAACCTTGTTTCAATGTAACAGAAGACAGTGATCACATTTTTTTGGGGAAAGCATCCTACCTAATAAAAGAGTAATATGCAAATTAACCATCACTCCGCTCAAGCCATGCCCATCAACCACACCCCCCCAGTCAATCAGAGCAAGTATGCAAATTAATCCCAACCAAGATGGCTGCAGCCACAGAGAGCAGTTGAGAGGCTTGGATTTCCCTGGCAATAGAAGAAGCCAAGCTTTCCACACACCCTGGCGGGCCTAGGCCTCCACTCAAGGATACAAAGTTTCAATTATAGAAGATAAATCCCAGCTAAGGAGCTGGAGAGAACAGGCTAGGGTTGCCCCCAGCAACGGAGGAAGCAAAGCTTTCCACCTGCTCTGGCTGGCCTAGGCCTCAAGGCTACAAAGTTTCAATGACAGAAGATACATAAAACCAAACAGAAATGGCGGCAGCCATGGAGTGAGCAGGGGGCTTGGCTCCGCTCCAGGCTACAGTTTCAATTGTAGGAGGTAAATAAATTCCAGATACCAGGGCCTCCCCTTGGGTCCCCAGGGGGCGTGGCTGGCCTGCAAACCACCACAGGCTTCTCCCTCAGGCCACCCCATGCCCCAAGGGAACCCCCACCCTGATCCAAGACACCTTTCAGGGCAAACCAGCTGGCCCCCACCGGTGCACCATGCCTCTATCTTATCTAATAAAAGAGTAACATGCAGATTGACCATCACTCCAACACACAATAGCTGCCCCCATGTGGACACCACAAGATGGCCAGCAGTAGGGAGGGACCAGGCCTGCATGAGAGGGCAGTTGTGGGTGATCAACCCTGTAGGGGAGGGCAGTCAGGGTGACCAGGTTGGCAGAGGAGGGAAGTTGGGGGCAAACCGGCTGGCAGGGGAGCAGTTAGACATCTATCAGGAGTGGTTAGGGGGTGATCAGGCTGGCAGGCAGAAGGGGTTAGGGGCAATCAGGAAGGCAGGCAGGCGAGCAGTTGGGAGCCAGCAGTCCTGGATTCTGAGAGGGGTCCCAGATTGGAGAGGGTGCAGGCTGGGCTGAGGGACACCCCTCACCCTGTGCACGAATTTTGTGCACCGGGCCTCTAGTGTTTCTATATAATTAGCTGAGAGGGAGGGCGGAATTCCCCTTCTGGCTCAGTTTGGGAGTCTGAAAAGATTTCTCCACCCATAAGAGAGCTGCAAATTTCCTCATATTTAAGAGGGAAAAAGTGACAACAACGAAATGAACGCTTGCTCATTGGCTCACGCCGATTCTCCCCAGCTTTGGACTGCATGGTCCCCTCATTCCTCACATTCCTCCAGCGTCCAGCTCTGGAGAGGAGCTGCCTCCTGGGGTCATGTTTCCTTGGATGTCTCCCACACTCGTGGGGAGTCTCTTGGGACTAAATAACCTCCAGGTCCAGCACCCATGCTCTGCTCTCCCCTCCCTTCCCCCTCCTCCCTCTGTCCTCTCTGGGTCCTCACTCGGGACGCTTTGGAGGGGGCCTTCAGACCCTGGAGAAACCCTGGAGGCCAGCCCTGGCGGACAGACAGCTTCAGACCTCAGTCCACCCCCTCCCACCCCCTCCCCCGGCATCCTGGCCTCGCCTCTCTCTAGGAAAGGCTCAGACCTAAGGCTGGCGCTAAGGGGCTCAAATCCTTGCTCCACCACCCAGGTCCTACGTGACCTTGGCTAAGGCCACGGACCTTCCGACCTCACCGTCCTTATCCACGGAGTGCGGACAGTAACCGCCATCTCCCACGCACGCAGTTACCGCCGTGAAGTGCTTAGCTGCCCGGAAGAGGTGCTCAGTAAAAGGCCCCTGTGGCGGTGTCACCCCACTGATGTGCAGGAAGAAAGGGATGTCCTGAGCCCGGGGGAAAAACCCCTGGGGTTTTGGGGTGTAAATAGGGCACCTGCTGTCATTTCACTTCCGGTGCCTAGCAGCCCGTGCTGTCCCAAGGAGCAGAGCATTGGGTGACCTGCCCCCCTCCCCCCTCCTCTTTAACCCGGCCTCCCGGCCTCCCGGCTTTTCTCATGTCCCTCTTGCCACAGAAAGAGGGCGTCCCAGGGTCCTTGCTGCTCAGCCTGGAAGGTCCAGGGCCAGACCCTCCTTCCTCCATTCAACAAACCAGCCCACATGTACGGAGGCACTCACTGTGCTAACCCTAACGCGGTTACTGAGGCTGGAGCAGGTTAGCTCTCCTCCCAGCTCCAGCTGTGTGGCTTGGGGCAAGTTACTTAACCTCTCTGTCTCCATTTTCTCAAAGGTTGGAATGAAATGAGAGAGGCCGCTCCAGGCCACTCAACAGGGGTACGGAGCAGTGTTTTTTTTGTGTGTTTTTTTTTTTTTTTAATATTTTTACTGATTTCAGAGAGGAAAGAAGAGGGAGCAAGCTAGACACATCAAGGATGAGAGAGCATTCATCAGCTGCCTCCTGCACGCCCCCTCCTGACCTGGAATCCAACCCTGACCTCCTGGTTCCTAGGTCCACGCTCACCACTGAGCCACACCGGCCGGGCTTTTTGTCTTCGCTTTTCCAGAAGACTGTTCTAGCTGCCAGTCTGTCTGGAACAGGAGGCCAGACCCCGGGAACTCTCCTGACCTCCGACCGACCCCTGACAGCCAGGGCGGCCCAGCGGCGCGCCCTGCCAGCCCCCCAGTCCGGCCGTCACGCCAACACGCGCCCCCGCGGAGGGCGGCCGGGCCCGCTCGGAGGGCACGGAGCGCCCCGCGCCTGCAGCCACCTGGCTCCGGCCGGGGCAGCGTCTGCTCCCTCCGCGCAGACTCCGGCGGGGCTGCCGGGGGCGCTGCGGTTCGGGGGGGAGGGGCGGAGATCCGGGCTCTCGGCCCCGCCCCCCGGCGCCCCCCGCCCCGGCGCCCCCGCTTCCGGCCGCCCCTCCCCCCGGCGCCGCCCCCTCGCTCCGCGCGCCCCTTCCCGGCGCCCCAGCGCCTCCGCCCGCCCCTCCCCGCGCCTCCCGGACCCCCCCCCTCCCCGCTTGCAGGGCCCCCTGACCCCCACCCCCCGCCCCCTCCCCCCGGCTGTGGCCCCCGCCCGCACCCCCGGCCCCCCGGCCCCCGCCCGGCCCAGCCCTCCGCCGGGCGCGGCGATCCCGGGGGCGCGGCAGGGGGCGCTGCGCGGGCGGCGGGGGCGGCGGGGGGCGGGAGCGGGAGGAGGGAGGGAGCGGGAGGGAGCGGGAGCGGAGCGGAGGGAGGGCGGGAGCGGGAGCGGAGCGGAGCGGCGGCCAGACACAGGCGCGGAGGCTCCAGCGAGCGAGGAGCGAGCGGAGGGAGGGAGCGAGGAGCAGGCACCCGCCCGCCATCCGCCGCCATCCCGCCGCCGCCGCCATCGCCCGGCCCCACAGCCCGCGGACAGACCAGGTGGGCGGCGGCGGGCGGGCGCGGGCGGCGGCGGCCGCTTTGTGTGCGGCCTGACTGACGGCCCGGCCCGGCCACCTTTGTCCGCGCGGCCGCCCGCCCGCGCCGCCGCCGTTGGGCCGCCGGGGCCGGGCGGCGGCGGAGGCCGGGCCGCGCCATTGTTGTGGCGGCGCCGCGCGGCCTGGTCGGCGGCGGCGCGGAGCCCGGAGCCCGGAGCCCGGAGCCCGGAGCCGGGCCGGGCCGCGCGGCGGGCCCCGGGGTCGGGCCGGATGCGGGCGGCCCGGGCTCCGGCGGCCGAGGGGCCGTGTGGTCCGGGGACGTGGGGCGGCTCTCCGGCCCCCTCCCAGCCGCCCGCCGAGGTGGGGTTCGGGGTTCGGGTTCGGGGGGCGGCGGCCGCTGGGGGTTTCGGGGCGCGGGGTCGGGGCCCCCCCCCCCGTGTCCCCGCGGTGGGTGGCCGGGCTGCGGTCTGGGTGCGGGCCGGGGTGTGGGGGAAGCTGCCCCCCGCTGCGGGGATGTTGACTAATAACCAGGATGTCGCCGCTCGGGTTTCTGCGCTGGTTTCCTCTCGGCCCCCTCCCCCTTTTCTCTCCCCTCCCCCTCGTCTCCCCTCCCCTCCCCCTTTCTCCCTCCTCCCCCTCTCCCTCCCCCTGCCCTCTCCTCCCCCCTGCCCTCCTGCCCCCCCCCCCCGGGGAGGAGCGGCGGCTGGAAACCGGGGCCCCCCCTCTTTCCCTCTCCTCTTTGTAAATATCGGGGGAGGCCGAGCCGCGGCGCGGCGGGAGGAGGAGGTGTTTTTCCAGCGAACGGTCCGCCGAGGGGGCGGGAGGGGGGCTGGGAGGCCTCGGAGGGTGTCGTTTGCTAAATGGCTGCTGGGAGAAGCCTTCTCTCGGCGCCTGCGATTTGCCTTCTTCAGGGTCTCACGAGCGTTTCCAGGCGGCTTTCTGCATCGCCATCCGCTGTGGCATCCCCTCGCCGTCCCCGCAGGGTTTCTCCAAGGCCGTTCAGGCCTGTCTGCAGGCCTGTGCTGTCCGCTGGGCGGGCAGGCCCGGGCCTGGGTGCCAGCTCCTCTGCCAGGGCACGGGGGTTCTCTGAGTGGACAGGGGCAGAGGGAGGCACATTGCATTCTCCACCTCGGCCGGTCAGGTCGGGAGGATGAGGAGGGCCTGGCACACAGTTGGGGTTCAGCAGTTGTTCCTCCTCTGCTGTGTGGACAATGGCCATCGAGCCCCAGGATGGAAGGCAGCCACCTGAGGTGCCGGCTGCAGCCACAGGTGCCGGCTGAGGCCTGGACAAGGGAAGGGATTCCGGGCACAGAATAGCAGTGGCCGCTTGATGGCTCAGGCCTGGGCCTCGGTGGGGAGGCCAGGGTGGGAATGCACTGGGGGGCCCTCAGGGAGGAGCTAGGTAGACAGGGTGATGTGGCCGTGGGTCCCTGTGTTTGGATGGGGGAAGGGGTTGTCCTTTCTGAGCTGTTCTAGCAGTGGGGTTAAGGCAGAGCTGGAATAGTACCAGGGACCAAGGACAACAAGCAAGGCCCAGGGGCTCTGCCTTGGGGGACAGCTGCCTTCCTCGCCGGGGACCTCTGCTTGTTTGGGCGAGGGTGTCTCTTGGAGCCTGGGTTCCGGCCGCTTTGGGGCAGCTCCTGCCTCTGAAATGAGGATAATTGGGCCTCGTCGTCGTAATGAATCTGTGGGGGCTCCCGGGAGCCTCACATCCCATTTGTAGCAGAGCGCTTCCATCCACGGGGGGCGATGAAAACGTTTGTTGTGTTTGTGGTTACCTAGTCTTCTGGTTCTTTTTTCCCCCTAATTCCTGATCTTTTTCTCCAGTTCTCCCCGTTGAGGGCCCTTGTGACTTGCCCACCCCCAATCCTGGCCCCACTAATGTTTTGATGGCCATTCCCCTGCCCGGCAGCCCCAGAACGGCTTTGGAGAGCCATACTGCCCAGCCGGACCCGGTGTCCCCGTCCACTGGCGGCCATGGGGAGGAAGGACTGACGCTAACGGGGGGAGCCTGACCCGTCTTGGCTGCGTGTGAAGGCTGAGACCCCGCTACCCCGGGCCAAGCCTGGAGCTTGTTTGTCAGTGAGGTGGTTGAATCCGGTGGTTCTGCAATCTGCTGGGGAGTTCGTGTTGGCTCTTTGGGCATTCCCACACCATCTTGGTTTTGTCCAGGTGTGTGTTTTGATGTCCTGATAACCCCTTTGTGGAAGAAGTGGCAATAGGGTGGCTGTCCTCCGTTCAGGCTCACCCCTTCTGCCTCTCGGCCCATCCTTTCTGCTTCCATCGTCCCAGCCTGGCAGGCTCTGGGCTGCTGGTGAGGGAAGGAGATGGACCGGCTTGGACTACCTGGGAGTTCCGAATGCACTGTGGGGGGAGGGCTTGTCTGCCCATTGTGTGGGCGGCCACCTCCTACAGCTCCCAGGCTCCTCAGGCCCAAATGGGTAAAGAAAAAGCCTGGAGAAGGAAGAGCCAGAAAACCCTGGGAGAGTGGAATTTCAGGAATGGCAAGTCTGAGCTAATTCCAGCTCCGTCTGCTGCTGGGGCCTGGGGCCTGGGGCCTGGCTGAGATTGGTTTTTTATTTTGTTGTTTTTGTTCTGCCTTTGGTTGGCCTGTTCACACCACCCCCTTTTAAAATGGGGTCCGCTTTTCCTGAAGGGTCAATACTTGTGAGGGTTTTTTGCACCTTGCACAAAGTACTGACTCACGATGCTAATGGCTGTGCAGGTTATATGTCTCCTTACTCTGCGTTTAAGATTGATCATTTTATGTCGGTTTCTATTTCAAACCGTAACAGGCCACGTGGGCCAGAACATGTGTTTCTAAATTTGATAACGAGGCTTCTTGACTGTCAAAGGTACGGGTGGGCAGGCGTGAACCAGGCCCAGGTACACGGACTTTTAAGCAGTGCATTTCCTCTGGAAAAGGGAGTTTCCCTCAGAGACCTCCTGGCTTTTGTGCTCTGAATCCCAGATTTTAGCTCAGGCCATCCAGACGATCATCTTTTCAAACCGTAACTCGATTTTTGTCTTCAGATTTTTCCCCCTGAGACGTGTGTAGCTTTAGGAACCTTGGTTCTGTCCTTTTGGACAAAGACATTAAGGCATTGCATGTAGTGCTGGAGCTCAGAAAAGAGCTGAGCTTGCTGATGAAATAAAATTCTCAAGACTAGCGTTTAGTTTTAAAAGGTGCCATCTGGACCCGGCCTCCACCTCCTGCCTGACCTGGAGCTGGAGCCTGGGCTTTGCTGCCCGTGGCATCCCTGACCTGTCTGTGGTGGCACCGGGGAGGACCCTGCTCCGGTGGGAGACCTGCCTGCGGGCCCGGAAGCCCTGGTTGAGTGGTTGAGTGTTGTTCATGGTACTTGTTGATTTGCCTGTGGCCCGAGCCTTGGTTTGTGAAGCGCTGCTTGCGCACAGGGTGTCGGGCAGAATGAAGGCCGAGTCGCTGGTCGCCCGCACATGCTCCGCTGCTTCCTTCCGTCCATCCCCCTCCCCCAGCAGCGGGCTTGGCAGCTCTGCTCTGGACCCCCTCCGCCTTCCGAGGAAGCCAACAGCCTTTCCTCTGGTGGTGGTGCAGAAGCGCTATTTGTTGCTTTTTAATTCACTGTCGTGCAGCAGATACTCCTTGACCCGCTATTATTTGCCAGGTGTTTTGCAAGGCCTTTTAATTACACTTCCCCCGTTTGTAAAAGTAACATTTTCACTGGGAACAAAAAATCAAAATACTGAAAAGAGTAAAGACAAGAATAACAATACAAATCACATGTAACCTGGCCATACAGTAAGGATTGGTGTATTTCCTTTGATTATGTGCTGGGTTTTTAAAAATTAGAAAAAAAAATACTATATATACTATGCACAGTATATAGTTCCTCTTAATTATAATGTAGTTCCCTAAGTTATTGAAAGCGTGATTTGTAGTTAATTGCACACTTGCTGTGATAAGGACATGACATGATTTGTTTAATCCTCTGTCATTAGACAGACTGTCCCCATTTCCCTTCTTAGAAACAAGGCTGAGGACCATTCCTGCTGAGACCCGTGGGTGGGCTGCTGGTTGTTTCCCACCAGGCGCTCCTGGCAGAGCGGGTGCTCCCTCAGCTCTGGCTCAGGACCCGCTTCTGTGAGCCCTGTCACTCTCTCAGCCTTGGGCACAGGTGGCTTCCCTCAGTTCTGGGGTCTCAGTCCCGGCTGAGCCCTGGGGTGAGTAGGGCTCGGGGTCTTACTCCTTTTACTGATGTGAGTCTGGCCAGGTGCATTGACTTAAACATTTATGGTTCCGGGGACAGGGATGTGGACACCCCACTTGCGCTCCTCGGGAGCTCATGATCCAGTGTGGGGAAGGCAGGTGCCTCCTTTTTTTAAATTTATTTTATTAATATATTTTATTGATTTTCCACAGAGAGGAAGGAAGAGAGATAGAGAGCTAGAAATGTCTATGAGAGAAACATCAACCAGCTGCCTCCTGCACACCCCCCCGCCGGGGATGTGCCCGCAACCAATGTACATGCCCTTGACCGGAATCAAACCTGGGACCTTTCAGTCCGCAGACCGACTGGCAGTGGGGGAGGGAATTACGTGCATCGGGCCCCTAGTTTCTAAGTTGAAATAAAAAAAATAGATGGGCCTCAGAGAGCTTGCTTTCCCCTTGGGATGTGAGCGTGATGAGGCCAGTGGTCCAGAGTGGTCAGTGGTTCAGAGTGTCCAGTGGCGGCCCGGCGGAGGGCAGCGAGGCCGGGGCTCGGGATGCTCCTGTTGACCATCTTTGTTCAGAAAGAGGGGATGGATCAGCGGGGCAGCTGGAAAAAGGAGGTCATCTCACGCTTTCCATGGTTGCTTTGTGTCTTCAGCGCTTTTTCAGGCAGGTGTTGTTTACATACAGCTCCGAGTTAAAAGCCCAGCTCTGTTCCAGGTAGTGCAGGAGCCCAGGCCTGCCTGGGAGGGGCCCAAACTGTGCCGGCCCGGCCTGTCTGTGCGCCTGAATGGGCTGAGTGTTCAGAAATA